AGACAGTGAAGATCATAGGAATGCTTGATTTTTAAAATATTGGGGAAGTAAGTAAAAATATATAGGGCGTTGCAGTTAAAAAATGTTTTTATGTTACCACGCTATTATGAAACACCCTGTATAATTGACAATATTTTCAAAAACGTTTGCTCTTGGATTTTAAGCACTTAATAAGTAAAAATTATTATTTTTTCAGTAATTTTTTCAACTAAGGAGCACATGGCATTTTATATTAAGAGCTAAGAGTATAAGATATATGGAAAGGTCGCATATACTGTTACGAATGCCATCTAACATTTAGTTTTTAAAGTAATGCGTCACACTGAAAATACTACAGTAGCTTGTAATTTTGTATATTGTATATTTTAATAAAAAAAAATTAAAACCATTTCGATATAAATTATTTTTTTCAGATTTTAACTTTCAAACTTTAAATTGAATTGAACCGTACGTTCCGCGCGTTTTCCGTTTTCATGACACAATCACTAGAGGCGTTGAAACTCGCTTTTTAACATTCCCACTAATGAGAGCCTTCCCCTCTATCTTATACTCTTTGATTATGCCACCCTGTATCTTTTTGGGGTTTTACGTTCTTCATCATTTAGAGAATAAAATATGGAGTGTTGAAAAAGATTTGATTATGGTTTTTCTATAAATACGCAAATTAAAAAAACTGCTACCAGATGCTATAATATTTGTTCCAATTTTAGATTTTCAGTCATATTGACTAATTTGCATTATTGATGTTTTTTACATAAGCGTTACTTTTTCCCTTTTCGGCTTATTGGTTTTTTTAGTTCAATATGCAAGTCGAGGTGTAAATAATTAGTGTTAGGAATATAAAAAATAGCATTTTTTGAGTTGATTTTTTAATTTTTTGGTTAACTAAAAACTTACAAATAAAAAAATGGAGCATAATTTTCTCAAATAAGTACCTATACCAAATTTAAAGGGCTTTATAAATGTGGTTAAACTATTGACTATTAACTGAGCTGATTTTTTTATTTTTTGATAACAATGGCCAAAAATTAACAAATAAAGTGTACCAAATTTTATTCATTATCTTTCAGGGTTTTAAACGTCGTTAGATAAATGAAAAAAATATTAGTTAAGGGCCGAAGTAGCAAAATTCCAGGTTCACATTTTTGGAAAAAAAGCATACCTAAAATTTGTTGTCTGCTCCACTTGGGTGAGAACGCACGAGTGTAAATATTCATTATAGACGAACCCCACCGGACAGCACTTTGAATAAATTTCAGCATGAACTTGATCCACAATTTCAAAACGTTCATGTACTTTTTCGAATAGATACAATTCATTGCTCAATAGATCGATGCAAAAACTTGTTTTACTATGGTCGGTCCGTTGATTCACTACCACTAAATCGGATCTAGAATTACGGTCGCATGTGTATGACACGTTTGCAGATGTCATCGCACAAGTTTCGCAGCAACATTTCGGATAATCAGACGATTTCGCATTGACGCTGTTCAATATCATTAAAAACAACGAAACTAGACAAATAAACATTTTTTTGTTCGGCGATGTGACTTTGAGATCGGGAGACAAAGAAGTAACTATTTATATACGAAATCTTTTCTGGACGTTCTGGTTAACCGGGAGTCGATATCATAAAGGGGCGGAGTTTAGCGGTCGTTTTTAGTTTGTTATTGCCGGACACGATATTGTAAAATAATAGATCAAGCGAAATTTATAAGGTTCTAGGGACATTTAATATTAGAATGACATTTCTGCCATATTGTAATACATAGCGATAATTGAAGGGTATCATTTCGGTCCACACTTCAAACATAACAATTTAATATAAGCCACATAACTATTAGAGATATAGACGCCCTCCTATACAGAAACTTGTCAAACAACTATAAAAAAAAATTGAGAATTTTGAGATTTTTACCAGATAGTCAATAAGTTTGGATGCTGCATTCTTACGGCCCCATTTTCTAAAATTATGCCTTGATCTCGTTGTGAGAACACGATTTAAGTGTGTGTAAATCGCTATTTACATATCTTATCTATACCTATATAACATAAACATACCTCCTTGCTAGATATTGGTAGTACCAAATATAACATACCACAGCGTTAATAGTTTGGCCCTCACCTATTTATTGTGTATAATAAATTTTTACTGATTACGATGCCAATACTTTTTTAATTTTATCAGATCGCTCAGTAACTAGACCAGAAATATATGGAATGGTAGAATGCTCATAAAATGCTTTTAAACAAATAAGAGACTCCAACCCAATAATATCCATGGATTCTATATTGGCTGTAGTTTATACAATAAAACTTCTTATGATTGATGACAAACTTGTAGGTTACCAGACTCCTAAAATTTGTCAAGGGAGTTATTCAGGTTAATTTTTTAAATTCTCAAGTAAATAATTTTTTATAATTCCTTTATATTAAAATGGAGCTGTTTCGCTTTATTTCACTTAAAAGTATCTTAAGAGTTAATCGAGTTTGATGTCGAGCTTGTTCATTTTAGGTCACTATTTGTGCCACACAGAATAATACTATAAAAGGGAGTTTATCTTCTTTAACAAAACCATCATGATTTTAACACCAGATCAGACCGAGTAATTATATCATATACTTTCCAAATCAAAGGCTAATTCATTGAATTTAAATTTATAACACAAACTCCCAACCAGGGTATAGGAAGCAAAAATTAACAAATTTAAAAAATCGTTAAGCGTCATCCTGTTCTTAAAAATTGCTTTTTACAGTGTTGAAGAATTCTTCTATAACAACACAATGATGTAAATGCTCGTACTGTTTACTATACTGTTTACTGTTTACTATAATTTGCATTTATTGTGAGAAATAGTCATTACCGTTTTAAATAAATTAGCATGTTATCACAGTTAACCACAAAGATCCTGGCAATATTAATATAAAAAATATTTCCTTCTTTTTCCAATTTGAACTGGATTCATTGCTGTTATAGAACCATCAGAGTATTCAATATTAAAAGAAAAACTTATTAACCGCCATGGATATTTGTTTACGATTACCAGTGCCACCATCAGAGAATAAATTGTCTTTAACATGTATATTATGCAGAGCTCTCTGTCTGTAGTATAGCGCAACTACCATCGTAGCAGATAGCTTCTTAAAATTGAATTTGGTGTGATTATTGATTTACTTTCGTCACAGAATACAACATTGTAGCCTGTGCTTTCATCAGGAATATAGACAAATGTACAAATAGGGGTCATGTTAATGAAATTAACATTTAAAATATGGACATTTATCCATTGCGTTTTAGCCAGACACGAAATTTTTTGTTAAACAAAATAATCATTTGCCCAGTTTGAAAGTCCGGCGTTATTACTGCACATTTTGAATTATTTGATCCACTTCGCTTTAGCCAGAAATGAAAATTTTTATTAAACAAAATAATCATCTGCCTAGTTTGAAAGTCACACCAAAGCAAAATGACGTGAAATAATTTATTTGAATTCGAATGGTTTTGTGCGGATATTTATTGCTCTACGTTACATAAACTATTTTCTAAGATGACAAATTTGTTTCCCACAGAATGGCTTCCACAATGTTTATTTAATCTCAGACGAATATATACAAAGATGAAAGTTCAACTGGATTGAGATCCTGCACCTGCTTTTTTTTTTGTTTTCCGTAACTTTTCAGTTACTAGGAAATGAAAAAAATTATCCTTTTATTATGTGATTAACATTCTGAGAATGCAAGTAGATACAGATAAAAAATTTAAACTAAGTTGGCACAAAAATATATAAACATTCACGGTTTTTAGAACTTTACTTTAATAGGTCAGTTTATACAAATATTTTGTTTCATTTTTAACAACAATAATTTAAAAATGGTACTACTCGACTCATAGATACACGAAAATACTGACTCTATTTTGCATGTCTATTTAATTTTTTAATTGTTAATTTAATTCTATTTTTAAGTATACATAAAGAACCGAATAAGGAAACATTCGGTTCAAAATTAGACAGCTGTAAAACAACTAATTAAAGAAAAAATTATAAACTCAATAATTGAATTAAAACGCCAATGAATAAGAATAAGAATAATTCACAATACATTTTTAACTCTGATTCATTTAAAAACATTGTCTTCTTAAAACGTCAGGCAATAATAGAAAAATTTTTATAACGAATATTTAATTATACAAAATTCGCTTTTTACCTTCTAAGATATTTGAAAATTAAGGGCAGCGATGGCGGAGATCAAATTCCACTAGTAAGAGATTTGAGGATTTCTCAAAAATTCCGATAATTTAGGATCCGGGGCTAGGAAACAATCTGATGTTCCCTTTCAACTGAATATTTACAAGATTACTAACCAAAATGAAAACTTTTCCTTCAACATTAACGCTAACATAAACAAAATATTCATTGTAGAGATGACAGGTTAAGAACGTTCGATTAAATAACATAAACACGGAAAATAAAAGAACTTAAAGTGTAAGGGGCACATCCCGGCATTGTTGATCAAACTGAGAAATTGTATAAGCATTTTAAGTTGTGTTGAAGATCAAGGATAAACAAAATGTATAACGTTTTCCCCGCCTGTCAAAATTCCAAACGAAAAGCTCGTTAAATTGAATAAGCAATTTTAAATTCGACCGGCATTTCGCACATTTGAGTTTCATCGAATTTTGTTCTAGCCCTTTATATTTTTATATCGAGTTCAAATCCCTTGGTTATATTTTTTACAGATCCACATCAAGAATATTACTTAAAATTATCTTGCATTGACGGGCATATCATTGAAATTTTCTACTATATACGCCAAATGTAAAATTTGAATATCAGATCTCATATTATCATCGTAAAATGACAGTTTTATTTAAACAGTGGATGTAGGATTATGTATTATGAAAAATGAACAGAATGCAGATTGATTGATTGATTGATTAATGACGAAATATTCTGAACACGTTCATTATTTTAATTGTTTTGGAAAACATTAAAGACGAAATAATTATATACTTTATTCTGATCTATACAGATATTAAACTAATTAAAATTCGTGACAGTTACTTAAATCCAGTCTTTACAAAAAAATGCGGTAGTCAGCATTCCACTGCAACAAAAAAAATCAGCCTTTAATTCGTATAACTTGTTTCCAAACAATCGCAAAACCAGCAGAAAAAAGCTCATGTACTGTTTACGCTGCCTTTACCGACTACGTCCATCTGAACCCCATTTGGTGGCAAGTGACTTGTTAGAGAGGTGGAGTAAGACGTTCTTCTCTCGCTCAAGCCTAGCTTTAGTTTCACGTGATGCAGCGTTTTCTTCTTGAAGATGAATATCACAAATATGAAGACACCTGAAATTGCGTTAATGTAATAAGTTTATTGAAATTGTTCTTGCTTAAACTGAAAACAGTACTTTAAAAATCTTGTATTGTGCGTTCAATTTATCTTGATAACATGTTTATTGGCTGTTACCTTTTTGTTTTAGAGATATCAAGGTAAACAAAAAAGCAAAATGTAGGGTTAATAGCTAAGTTTTTTCCAACTGACGTGTGAGACAAAACATTATCTATTTTCTGACATATAAGCTCACATCATACTTCTTTAAATGGAACATCCTGTATATCATATATGTGTTTAATAATATATCTTATTTCGATTAAAATGATGTAACACTCTTTATATTTTAGTTCACTCGTTTTTGGCAAAAATAGGAAATAAAAATATGTTTATGTTTGACATATTAATAAACAACGTTGATGGTTGAACTATTGTCCAAGTCATTATTGTTAAAATGATTTTTCGCGAATTTAGCAACCTTGAAAGAAGTGATATGCTTCAAGTACCCTTTCTGAATAATAAAAGTGCAACCGCAACTTGTCGTCAGTATATTAGACTTTATCCAGAGCGCCGAGCTCCTTCAAAGCAGATATTTCCAAGGCTGGTGAAGAAATTTGCAGAAAACGATAACGAATTAAATTCTAATCCCAATGTTTTACATGAAGAAAATAAGGCATATTAGGATTGTATTACTAGAGGATTTGAAGAGACAGGTATTTTTCGGAAATCAATCCACTCAGTTTTGAAGGAATATGAAGATAAAGCATTTATATTTCGTAAAACTCAAAAACTAAGTGCAGAACAATGTCAAAGGAGGATACAGTTTTGTTTGGATTTTTTAAAAAGACATAATGAGAATAACAAATTTTTTCAAAAACATTTTATGGACTCATGAAAGTTTGTTCATTACAAGAAAGGGTTGTAATAGACACACGTGATATTTTAAATAATCCTAGAAAAATATACGAAATGAACACCCAAATTTTTGAAAGTTCTGGAGAGATTATAAGTGACAATTGATTAAAACCGTGCAAATTATTGTTCCACACAAATTGGATGTGATTTGTTTTGATTTCATTTAACAATGTTGTATAAGAACAATTATTCTCACGCTCAGACAGGCAATGTTTATATTTCTAGGCTATTAAATTGTGCTTCTTCACATCTGTTATTGTAATATGCCGCGTTTGGCTACCATGGCTGCGATAAAATAGTCCACCAAATTAATATCAAAATTTAATTTTTACACATCTTACCTTGCAAGCAGGTAATGGTATCCATTACAATTTCAAAATTCTTCGTGAAGCTACTGATTTTATTCATATCGAAAAATGCTGAAATAACTTCGAAGACAAAAATTACGCCCATGATCACGGCCAGTTTTATAATAAGGCTCAACCTGAAACAATCAATTTAGGGAATTAAAGAAGTAAAATTGTAAATTCCAATTTTTTATTAATTACTACATGTCTTAGAAAGTTTACTTGATATTTTAATATGTACGCTAGCCTAACATACCTGTCTTTATCAATTGCGAATTTGGTCTTCTCCTTTCTTCCTTTGGTGTCATTCATTTTGCTTATTTCATTTTTTACATTTATGCAATAAGTGATGGTTTTGATGAAAAGGATAGTGTTGATTATCTGAAGTATTAGTTGAGGTACCAAAAGAAACACTATATGTGCGTAATTACCTAAAACGGGTCAAAAATATTAAACCTAATTTCATTTTTTTAAGTGACTTAAGTTACATACGTTTCTCGAGGATGCAAAAAAATATCCCCACGTATGGTTGAATGGATTCTGGTAAAATTTTGAATGTCTCGAGAGTCAGGATCAAAAGAGTGTGAAAAATTGGCATTCCCCATCCATACAGGCAATACAAGAGTATCTTTTTTAAGTCCTTTTTCCGTTGATCCCTTCCAATACTCCTTTTCGGTGTTCTGAAAATTGACAATTAACTTAGAAGCGTATAGTACATGCGTGTAAATTCAAAGTAAACTAATAGAAATGGACGTTTATATTACATGAATTTAAGGCAAAAATAAATAAAGAAGAGTAAATTTTAATTTCAAAAGCGTAGGTATTAAATGAGGCAGTAGATAAGTGAAATGAAACGGATTTTTTGTGCAGTTTTTATTTTCAAATCAATTTTAATTTTTATTGATGGAAATCTTTGAGGTGTTAAGACAGCTGTCAATTAGAGTAATTGTGTTTTTTTCCTTTAGTTTCCGGCGATTAAAAAGAAAAGTCAAATTACTAGACCCTTCCGTTGCAGTATCATATAGACTGCCTCGGATGATGTATTGGCCCTATTAGACTTACGTCATTATGTTTGCGTGTCAATAAGTAAGTTAGCTATAAGCACACAATCAAGATTATTAGGGTATCGGCAAACGTACTTCGAGGCGATAGCGAAACTTATTAATAGAAGAATTATTGCTGTCTCGGTTACTTTGTCAACCAGTAAGGAACTAATTTATTGATAACCGTAAATATTATTTTTTTATATTTTTGTTAAAAAATAATTAATAGTTGTTTATTGTGCAATGAAAAGGCGGAAAACAATGTGGTCACATAAGTGCACAATATACGGGAAATTTTGTATTAACTGCTACACCCATACAATTATTACCGAAAATTAGTGCATGTTCGTCAACCATTTTAGATGCACTTAGAATAGTTCCAAGTCAAAGTTTATGCAGGGTAGGTCATTAAATATAAAAATTGCAAAAGAGTAGCGTACCGTATAATAAACATTTAAAATAAAGATTTTGCACTTTGAATTTTATTTTTTTAATTATGGCTGTTGTGTTACCTTGATAAGAAGATTTGTTTCGAAGTTTTAGAGTTGCGAAATTAAAAATCATTTAATTTTAATTTTTAAAATAAAAATGGCGAACTCACGCAAATGTGTTCCGGTTTGATTTGATTTTGATTAATTTCTAAACATGTCTGTTTGATTCTAAATATCTTTTCGGAATAGTATTTTGGTTGTCGAATATTCACCGGCTTTCAACAATAATTGGATTTTTGTGAAAAAAGAACAATTAAAAAATTTCCCAATGTGTTGCACGCTTAAATATGTGTTCTTACCGTTCATTGTTGTTTAATCATATAGGTATTTTTACCACACATGAAAAGTCGAATGATTAAAATTTTGTTAATTAAAACCGGACAGGGCATCCATGTGGTTGTTATTAGTTATTAGTCGATCTTGTTTATCAATATAAGTTACTGTTTTGATTCCTTTAAAAATCTAACACAACTAAAATAAGGTACGCTCAATTTTCCTCTTACCTTAAGTGTGTGAAGGCCTAAACAAATGAACCAAAAAGTGATTAATGTTTTCCAGAGCTTTTAATTTACATTTTGCTGGCGTAACTATCGTTGAAAGTGTACCTAGTATAATTATGTTTATCGAGCACTTAAACGCAGTATCAAAAACAAACACTTGTTTAAAGCGGCGCCATTGTATCTGCCATGTAGCACACATTAATAGCAGTAATTTGCCCATTCTTCTAAGTTAAATAAAAAATGACCATTATTTCACTGGCATTATTTTCAATTGCGCATAATATGCGGTTCACACAGCAAATTTCAATAGCGCGAGTTAAGTTGGCACGATATGAATATTTCTAGAATTTAAATGAACAAATGGAAAAAGAAAGTATGACTTCAAATTTTATGCTAATATACTTAGAGGCTGTTTTATTATGAATGCCTAATTTTTTAAGTTTTTGATTTATTGTAGTATAGTATTCAGGGGAATTTTTTATCTAATTTTATGTTGTGTAGACTTGTTACTCGCACCGGTAGTAATAGTAGTAGAAATAATTTTATGTATATTTAACCTTATATTTATAATATTTAGGAGCCTCCTCTCTCCACCCTTTTAAGTTCGTTAATGAACTACAAGAAAAATTTGCGAACTTATTCAGGCTTTCTTACAATGTTAATAGAATTATGACTTCATTTAAAATTTTCGAAAAAATCTTGAATTTTATGATTCACTCTATGCGCCGATGCCAATTTAAGACAACATTTTTTCTGAAACTCTAAGTCAAATAGATATGACCACCCTTAATGAAAAACTTACATCAATAAAAAAAAAATTCAAGCACTATTCTTCAAAAATGGAAATCACAAAAAAATACAGTAAGTTGTTTTATCACGTAGAAAATAATAAATGCTTTAAGATTTGTGTTTGTGATTCCTAATTAAGATTTATTCTATCCAATGTGGCACAATTTGCGGGCATCAATTATTAAAATTTTATTATATGTAACGTACTGGAAATTAATTACAATTTTGCTTATTATTAATTATATTATTTCTGCCCTTTTTCGACATCAAAGACAAGTTGTTTCTCTCTGTGCCTTTTAAATTATCATTCCATGTGTGCAGGCAACTTTGTGATAGGCTGGCCTGTAATTCTGATTAAGCAAGTCGAAATGAGACAAAATTACAAAGTTCATGGTAGCGTATGACAGAAAATTTGCATATTCACAACAAGAAAACCTAAATTTCATATGTTCGCCGCCGCCATTCGTTATCAAAATAGCGACTTACTTATATAATTGAAAGGAGACATGGTACATTAGAGGTTTTTATTACTTTAGTTGGTAATTGTTTAGAATATGCGCTGTTGGAATCCGTATCTTAACTCATCTCTCCCGTGCAACGCTAATGCGTGCAATAAACTACGTAAATAATTAATTACTTTTTTTATTTACCTTCGCGGTAATCGAATGTTTGAAAATTCTGTTAATAATGTAGAAAATGTTTTCTTACGAATCAATTGATCTCGCAGTAAAATCAGTCAGTATTTTAAAAACTGGTAATTAGTAAATTTATAAGTAGGATATATCTGGTCTGTTAAAATATCGTTTATTAAAAATTTAGATCATCAATATTGTCAATATTACTTGATGATGTTTCCAGAGAATGCTGTTTCTTAGTAAAAGGTCTGTTACTAATACTGTAAGGGTCCTGTTGAAAATGGAAGAAATGGAAACATAGAAATAAAATAAAATAAAACCAAAGAAACAGAATAAGCCGAAATGAAACATAATGCTGTCTAGGTCGTGACAATTACACCTTCTGTAGCCGTCCAAAAACAATAATTACTTAATCATTAAGCTTTACTTATTAGCATTTTGTGATATTTTTAGATATTATTAAAAATTACTCATACAAGCGCTTACCCAAATGTAAACCAGATATCCAAAGACATGATATTCAACCAAGCGAATAGCGCCGAGTTGAAGAGGATGATAGAATAACCTGAAATAAATCATATTCCTTGGTGCTTGCAAAAAAGTGTACCTTATCCAGACAAAAAAACTCAAAATGTACATTTAGTTAGTTATTACAATTACAATTATAACATTTATTCTATTATTAGAACTCGTTAAGTTTTTAGTTAAGATCCATATAGTTTGTTCTGATTTTTGCAAGTCGATTATACACCACACACTTAAAACTTAAAATTTATATATGTTGTTCATCTCACAAACAAATATTCATTTGCTAATATTTCGTGTGCTTTTCTTCTTTTGAATGTGCTATTTATATAAAAACTGTTATTATTATTATTATTATTATCATTATTATGATTATTATTTTATTATTAATATTTTAGCGGCAAAAAATTTTATCCCAAACATTTTTCAGATTTTTAAACTAAAGTTTCCCTATGATGTATGTCGTATATCAATAAAGATTCCAGACTTCTACACTATTTATATAAAATGTGAATGGGTTGGTTCCATTTAAATTGGCATGTAAATGTCCATAACTCAGTCAAATTCAGGCATATCCAAAAGTTGTTCATGTTTTTTCCTAAATTAATTGCGTAAATATAATTAGCTACCTACCTCTGATTTTACACTCGATTCTGGAAACGATAAGGTAGCGATGCGCAATGGTCAGTATCAACATCAGCAACATCATGGCTACGCAGTAATTTATGAGAATTTTACCGAATGTGTTTCTGGTCTCGCCCATGGCGATATAACACACGATGGTGATAACCAGAAATATCACCGATGCAATTTTCGCCCAGAGCGTGAACTCGAACTTTGCAATCACCTCAGTTTGGCTGTGACAGTTGAATATATGGTATCCGGCAATATTCTTTTCCTTTTTGACCGCATGTTCGATGCAGTACGATTGGGGATGGTCGTAGGTTTTTTCGATGAACGTGCCACTGTAGTTGTGGTAATATTTGAATACTCCATCCTTGTCGATAGTGTAGGATATGGTGTTGTTGGCAAGGAGAGTGACCCTGGGGCATCGCGTGTCATATATAACTTCGAAGTTATCTGAAATATCATTTCAATTATCTCTAATCAATATTTTTCAAATCGAGACGGAGTAGTTTTGCACATTTCCTTTCTATTTTCTTTCTCAAAATATTTTTGCCCCTTTTGTTTTTTATCGCTTAACATTATTAAATTAAATCGTGAAAATGGCTAAAACCATCTCATTTTTCTATTAACTAATACTCGTCGGCAATATTCGCCCACATAGGTGTGTCTAGGTAATTAAAATATTAACTGTCGTAATTATGCTTTATTTTTCCTTTCATGTGCGACTTCGCATTAGTTTTTATTTAAATCGATATGGAGAAAATACAAAACAAAAATAGGTAGTTTATTTAGTCCAATGTTAAAATATTATTTTAGTAGTGTAACGTCCAAAATCAGTTTGCAAGAGACGCAATTTTATAAATATATTTTTGTAACGGCTTGGTGCACTTAGATATATTTCAAGTTGAACATTATACGAGGTGGAAGAAAAAATGTAAAATCTAGTGAAAAGTAAAGTATCCCCAAAAAGAGTAAGAAGGAAAAAAAAGTTAAAAAACGGACTAACTCTCGTATAATTACGTACTTGGTCGTAGAAATTCGTGATAAAAGTGTCGTTTATCAAAATTGTGTCATAATATAGTATTATCCATTCCCTATTCTAAAATAGATAATGGCCTGATCAAGCGTGCACCAGACCTCATCTCAAAACGTCTAAGTACTTCATTAAACACTGTCGCTAGCATTTTCGGTACTTTAGTCACTGGTTGTGCATGTGCTAAACAAACTCGTGTCGCAAACTAATGCACCACACTGTATATCCCTAGTCATCTACATTATTAGAATTAACTGGAACAAATACCATTTTACTGATTAAACTGTTATTGGATTACATGCGGACTGAGTGCTTTGCGTTGGTCGCAAATTTATTTCTATTTGGTTATAATCGTGGGAGCAAATGATATTAAAGAATATTAAAATGCAAAATGTAGTTTTATAAAGCACCTCTACAAATCTTAACCAGTTCTAAGAGATGAATGAATGGTTTTGGGATTAACATTAGTTAGTTTTGGGTAACTCAGCAACTCACCGTGCTATTCTCTTTCGATCAATAAAGACGTAGACAAGTGCTGCTATGTAGTGATTTATACCTTTAAATTTATTAAATAGCAATTTAAGAAAATAGTTTTACATTATTTCGCTGGAAACAGCGGCATATCCAGAATTATAACATTCCTGCGCATTTCTATGCATTACATCAATAGACTGCCGAATATTATATGGACATATTCCTATCCAAACGGTGCTTGTTAGGTAGCACGTGTGGTACATCTTGCCGTACCGATAGATTTTGCCAATAGAAGAACAAGCAATATTTACCCAATCCGTATAATTGTAGCAAATCTTTTTTTTTCGAGTTTTTCTCTAACACATTTTACATAAAACTAAATTAACACTCGATTTGAATTATTCACTTAAATTATATAAAACGACTTTTCCATTCTGTATTTGATAAAAATCGAGAAATTTATGGCCTGTTTGTGGCTGTCTCAAATTTTATAGACTCCAAACTGTGGCCTCAACATTGTTAAGTAATAAAAAATTCCGATAAAATTTAATATTCTGAAACGCTATTCTAATTTGGATTATATTACCAAAATTATAATCCCGCAATGTTTATCATATTAACAATACGTAACTTGCGTTGCTTAATGGAAATATGATGTATTTTAACATAAGTAAAATCCCATAATATTTAATCCAGACGCTATTTACACAGACGCGCCGTGTTAGAATTAACGTCATAATTAACGAATAACCATTATCCAAAATATTTTTCTGAAATATGTATGTATTTGCGTATTGCTAGGTTTATTTTAAATCTATCTGTTTATTATTCTTTTCATGCCGTACTGTGAAAAGATGTTCATTTGTGCAAAAAATTAAGATTGAATGATATTTTTCATTTTCGTACAACTTGTACTAGTGTATAAGTAAATTGAATATATCAGTATGCTTTTAATATTTTAAGTATTAAGAGCAATAAACATGTTTTGTTGAGTAGTTGCCGAATGAGTTGTAATGTTGGACAGTTTTTTTGATTTAAAGGAAGCCATACGCGGGTAATATTTTGTTCAAAAGCTACCCCATAGTTTTTACTGTTTGTCAATACCAGACGATTCAAATTCTCAAGCATATTGCGAATGGGGCAATACAAAGAAACAAAATAATATGCGAACATACATAAATATTGAAAACAATCTAAATTTCATTAATGTTTCACTTGGTTCTGTGGTTTCTAAATAAACCACTCAATTTTTAATTTAATACTTTGGATTTGTTCTGTCAAAAACTAGGAAAAAAAATTTGACTCTTTATCACAATTTATATAAAAATATAAATTTAGTCATTTAATTTTAATCACTTGCACTTTTGTTGTCTAATGGTTAATTGAAGTTTTAACCAAGAAGGGTATATATTAGTTAAAAGCTTGTTTGAAAAGACAAAAGTTAATTTACAACTATTCTAAACATTGGAAGTGTGGTTGCTTAAAAGAGGGAAAAATTTCTTATACGAAATTTTGAGAATCTAGTTCACATTTATTTCCAAATTCGTTTTCGTATGGACGGGAAAAAATAGTAATATTCTCTAAAGCTAAAGGTATCTCCGAAATGTAAGTTAAAAATTGTTTTTTCTTTTTTAGTTTAGGTCTTTGCGAGTATCTGCGTCCAGTATCCACCTTAACTATTATATTTCATATAATGAACAAGAACAAATATTATGTCAATTTAATATTCTAGTAAATCGCAAATATTAATTTAAAGTGGAATTTTTTGACGTCGTGTCGCATTAGTTCCATAAAAGAATTAGACACGCAGGTAATTTTGCGCGAAGTAAAGAACAGAGAGTCTTTTTGTAAATTAAGCAAACAATTAAAGATTTAGTGTCACTTCAAAGTAGCCCTAAAATATTTTACCTTCAGGATCCTCTATGCCATCCGAAAAATGCTGGGAAGCAATCTGCACCCCGTAGACGTGCGTGTCCATGCAATTCGCTCCCCCTACGTAACTTTGGCCGTCCGGACAGCATTTTCTGATACATCTCTTTCGCTGGCATATTGACAAGTTGTCCTGGCACTCTCGTACCACGAAACCACCCTTACTATTCTGGTCCAGGCAAAAAGACCCCTCGCTCACGACATCCAAATCCAAAATGGTTTCTATATGAACGACGCTCTTATAGAACTTGTCCAAAATAATTTTGCATGTAGGTAAACCAACGCTTAGGTAGTTTCCCTTGATGAAGTCGTGGGAAATGTTATTGCCGATAGCACAAGAACGGCGGTCGTGGTCGTATACGAACCCCAAAGGGCAGCATTTCGGAAATAATGTCTCGTTGATGACGGCGATGGCGTTCAGTTCTTCCTTCTTCACTTCGTAGAGGAGAAAATTGTCGCCGGTAACCTCTACGCATTCACCACTAACAGAACCGTTTAGAAAATTGTTTTCTTCGGTTAGTATTTGTAATCTGCGTCTGCTATCCGGCTGACAAGTAAATCCTGCTTTGACTTTCACCAAGTTATCTTCGGCAGAGCAGCACTTAGCCAGCTGATCCTCAGACGCCGTCACGCGATTAAGCAGCAATGCACATACGACTACAGGTGTAATAATCATTTTCAAGGTTTTATCTGGTCGTAAATTTAGTCATCGCGCCATAACAGTACACTTGCAACTGCGAAGCGAGGAACAAGCGCTTTACTAGTAGCCAGCGGCTGAATTGTCGGTTTATTGTTGCGGGAGTCGAAGCTCTGGTCACAGGGGAGTCTTCGCGAAGTCGGGGCGCGCAGTTGCTGAGTGGGGGGATTTTGCAAACCACCCCAGCAACGAGTACAACATTTTGGTAGCTGGCGAATTTCAGTTATATTAAATTGTTTATTGATGTGTTGCTGGCGCCACATTCTTAAAGCGTCATAGTCATAAATAAACAAAATACTGTAAAACTCTTACAAAAAATTAAATTAAGTAATATCGTTCTAAAGAAAACATTCTAGCGTATCGATCATGTCCAATGGAAAAAATTGAATTTTAAAATCGCCCGGAAATAGTAATCAAATCAATACCTAATTCAAAAACATTTAGAAGCAAAATCTAACTTAAACATGGCTTTACTGTAAGGGGAAAGTTTTGCAAGTGAGGGTTTCGAAAGATCTTGATTAACTCTATCTTGTCATCTTCCAATGTTTTATGAAAACTAAGGGTTATGAAAAGCTCGTTACGTGCTCTGGATTCGCTTTTTAAGAGCACTTTAAGAATAATAAGAAACAGTTTTGGACTATGAGCCCTTTGCAATAAAAAATGAAAAATGTAATGTAAAAAACGTATTTGTACATAGTTAAAAATAGACACTCTATATATTTATATGTACAGGGTGTAACAGTAAGGGTGAAGAGGTGCTCTGATCAGTAATTGCATTCATCTAAATAGTATATAAAATCTACATAATACATAACGAACCAAATTAGGATACGAAAATTATTGGTTAGTTTGCACTTTCTACTCTCAAATATGAACTGATCAGGCGTGCATAAAGTGTCACTTTGAAAAGACAGCTTGTTTAAACAGTGTCACGTGTTGAAATGTGGGTGAAGTTAGAATCGGAAATGAAAACAAAATTAATGTTCAAATAAATAAATTTAGTTAAAATAAAGTTAGTAGTTGATAACTGAGTTTCGGGTCATTTCTGTCGGGTGTGATGAATAATTTTATGCTTTAAAACATTATAAATATATGAAACAATTCGTGACAACCATTTAAATTGTTTAGGAATTGAATTTTTTTTATTGCTTCATGCTTATCAGGATGACAACCCAACTGTGGGTTAGTTGATCAGGAACAACTTAATCCACAAGAGGGAACAAATGACCAGAAACATGGAATGATGCTGATTTCAGTCAGTTAATGAACTGAAAAAGAGAGCTCAGCGGCAAAATCTGCGGTTATTATGCGCCTTAGTCATGGTAGGTCCTTCCCCCACCGGCAGGTGGTATGCAGGCTTCTACTGTCATACCTCCTCATAAGTTGTTTGGTTTTGTCATAAAAGGTTTTATTTGACTCCATTTTAAGCATCAACTTGGACCAAAAAAAGATGGAGGGCGGAAGCGAGACAGAGAAATGAGGGGCAAACTCCGTTCGCCTCAAACACGACGCAAAATTACATTATACATTAAAATCTTCTGGTTGTTTTTTTTATGGATCATAACGAATTCACTGAACCAAGCGCTAAAGCGGTAACTGCGCCATCTTGCATTAAATCATGGAATTATTTAGTTAAAGCAAGCACCAATATACGGCGCGTATACCGCAATGATGACATCTCCTGCTGCGGGGCTGGAACTAATGCTGCAGTAGTACCATCTACCTTTGCTAACAAGTTGCACCACACGGCGATAGTGGTGCCATCTTTCGCTAAGTCAAGGAACTAATTAGTTGATGAAGCACTAATCGATGGAGCGCGCACTGCAAAGGTTCCTGGCTGCCGTTTGACGCTGCAACTAATTGGAGGAGGCAATCAAGCAAGGGATTGTCGCACAAACGCCAGTGGTGCCATCTCTCATTAGGCACTAAAACTAATAAATTGAGGCAGGCACCGATAGATGGCGCGCATACTGCGGTGTTGCCATCTCTAGCTAGGTGTTCGAATTCATTAATTAAAGCGACCAGCATTTTTGAGATTTGTCTTAAATACATCTAAATGAAGCAATAATTGTGCACATTTCAATGGCGGCATTCTTCGTGTTCGTGGTCATTGCCTGTCGTAAAAGTTTATCTGGTACTCCTACGGAATAGCAACTTTCAGCTCCTGTGTGGTGTGGTTGTTGTATATTACCCTAGGAATGCTTTGCACTTCACCATGCAGGAGAATATGTGGTCCCACATTTTGGAAATGCGACTTTCATTTTTCTTACAATGCTACCCTAAGAATGCAAGAAAACCCCGCAGTATAGAGAAACCGAAAATTTCAAAAATGAAAAGTGAACTACTTTCCTTCAAAGGCGCATTTAAGAGCCTTTTTAGTTGGAGGCAACTAAAATTTAAAGATTAGTTTAGTAGGGTATGTTTTGGGTGCTGTGTTATCCTTTAATAAACAAATAAGTCGGAGTTTAAGTAGGTGAGGGTGAACGCAGCCAATGCAAAAAGCAAATAAAATCTCAAAACTCTAAAAACAAAGTTCTACAAACGCAGAAACTGATCAAAACTGCAAATTCACCACAATAGTATATCGCTATGGTAATTGTAAAACTTGCAGGTGGTTATAAAAACCCACAGCGATCTAAACAGCATTTTTTTTTTAATTAACCAGAGGTGATATTGTCTGAAAAATAAAGCAAAGTGGAGTGACAATATGCGGCACACACCATAGATGCGAATAAGTGGTGGTCTTACAATTAGGCTGACAATATAATCGAGAAATTTTGTACGTAAGTTCCAAGTTTGGTTTTGCAATACATAGAGTACAGACTGGATTACGAGCTAACGAAATGCGTAACTAAAACATATTTTGAAACGGGCTGCATTTCCGACTAGAAAATAAGCGCCTTCTCCTTCACTACTTACAAGATTGTTTTTTGAACTTCACTGTTCGCTTTTTCGGTCTTTGTTTTGGGTTTTTCTGCCTCCATTTTGATCCTTTCTTTGGCGACCATGGAGTGCCCCACGTTAACTGTAACGCCATGCAGAGGCGACAAGGTTCGCTTTAAAGATTTTTGATATTCCTATATCTTAAAAAAAAATCAAATAATTTAACAGCAAGATTTGGGTGAAAACAAAAAAATTCTCTCTATAAAATGAGACGTTACAGGAAAATTGTGTCGTATCCAAAGCCCACTTGTTTGACCTTGCCCATGGTCAACGCTTGCATGGTCCACAATAACATAATATTGGAACGAACTGGTTGATGCATAATATTGCAGCGCCTGGTGTCTCCACCATTCTTAGTGGAAGAAAAAACCAGAGCTAAAATTGATAAAAACCAGAGATTCACCTTCATAGCAGAATGATGGAGAAAATTAATCCCCTTCATCCATTTACTGAGAATAGAAAAAAAAACAAGCTATAACTGACAACTGGTGCACCTTTGTTAGTGGTTACAGTCTAAGATATAGCAAATTGTGGACAGAAGCAACCCACTTTGTCGAAGAAAAAAAAAAGGGAACTGGAGAGGCGGAAATTAATCATTCTTGCAAAAAAATTATTGGTCGCATTGCACCTATGGCAAAACCGTAGCGGAAACGTCGGGTACTATATGCAAACTCAATATGTTGTGGAGTGAATGTCATTCCTGGAAGCGGTTTTATTTTGTGTTAGATAGTGTTAGTTTAGGATGGTATTGGGCTAAAGGATTTGCTGACCTTCTACAGGAGGGGCGGCATTCTGGACGCCCTCTAGAGCGGCCTGGGGGCACAACGGGCCCATCTGGTGGCCTAAGCGCTTGGACGCCCGCGAGGGCGCCCCCCTTTAATACCAATACCAATACCAATAGTGTTAGTTTCTTGAACAGCAAATTTGCTTTTGAAGATAATGAATTTAAATGATAAATAACCTATGTTTAAAAAAACTAAACATAGATGCTAAAACTTTATTAACACTCACAGATTAGATAAATAAAAACACATTTGAAAGAATCTGAATTACAAAATCAAAATACCTCTATACGTGTAAAAACGGAAACGACAAATGGCGCGTCAACGAAGAACATTCCCAACCCCAACCATTACCTATACCCAGCAATAGTGCTTTGCGCTACGTCCATTTAGTAAAAAAAAAACTAACTTGGACAGGACAAAAAAATGGGTGGTTTCAGAAGGCGCTAGAAATTTATGAAGTGCACTTATGGCCTGCTACTTCTTCTGTAAACACTTTCGTTCCCAGAGCAAGACCAACAACACCAACACTATTACGTCGTTTTCCCAAGCTTTGCAGCTCTTTCATTTTTTCCAGTTTGAAAAAATGAAAAGTTGGAAAATTGTGTTGTGAATTTTTTTGAGGATTTCGTGGATTCTAAAAAATTTTTAAGGGTTATCTCAATATTTCTGGTCATATTTCCACTGAATAAAAAGTTCCCAAGTTTATAGCAAAAAAATGAAAAAATCTACATTTTATGCTTGTACGTTAAGTACACGCAGTCAGCTGTTGATAATATTATATTAAATCGATTTTTTACTTTTCACTTTATTCTTCCCTTTATTATTCTAAGACTAGTAAGCTTTCTCTAACAATCAGGATAAAATTCTATTTCACCCTCACCGTTATTTACCTACTAGGATTAGTTATTATAGTTTTTATTTTAACTTTAAATACTTTTATAGCACCTTATATTCTAAGTGATCCAGATAACTTTATCCCAGCAAACCATTTAATCTACCCAGTTCATATTCAGGCTGAATGACATTTTCTGTTTACTTATGGTATTCTTCCATGTTTAAAAAAAGGAAATTGGATTAACTTCGTCGTCGCTTTTCTCTAATTTTAACAGTTGTCGCATGTTAGTGCGGTTCTTGGGCTTATTTTATTTTTTCCGATAAAATTCCTTCAGTTTTGTGTCAGACTGCGAGAATTTTGTTACGTTGTACAAAGAGAAACACCAACAGAGTTTCAAATTTTCTAAAAGCACTGTTATTATATGTCAACCCGTAGCTGTTTTTTTATTAATTGGGCTCATCTCATATTAGGATATTAACCCACCCATTTTCCGGCATCCGCGAACCAAAATTTACTGATAACAATTTTTGGACGCACATAACAAGGCTTCCCGAGGAGAATAGAACTCACAACCTCCGGCAGGTTAATAACGCCGTACCAACCGAGCCATCCTCGGTACCCCCACAGCTGTTCTTCTACTTCTTCTTTGCTTTTCACAAATAATTAGACTATGACCATTCGTCTATTACCGACGTCCGTGAGGAATTTTTCTTTTGATTACCAACACTTAAAAGAACTATATTTAACCAATATTTGTTGCAAGAAAGGACTTTGACCAATATCAAAAAGCTCCCCACCCCACTTCCACCACGTCTGGAAACATCTGGCCTTCAACCGACAATGGCAAAAACAGTGTGGCCGGCTTGAAACACTTTGAAACATTCATAAACGCCTAAGATAATCCGCTCAATGTACGGCATCTGCAGGTTTCTTCTTCGGTCTTCATCGGCGTACAAGACAATTTGTGAGTTGGGAATGAAACTAAACGTCATAGAGTTGCCTTAAGCCCAATTCAACTTATCTCTATTCACTAGTAACTTGCATTAATAAAAGGTAGGGTTTTATAACTTCAACTTTAATTTTTAATACAATTTCATGGTTAAATCACAGAGATATTACAGTTCTCAGCTGTGTTCATTTGGAGATCAGTTAGAAACTCCATTCCACTGAAAACCATATATATTGCGGCATTATCAATTTGGCTAACCATTGTGGAAAAAACTGGGAGCTGCTTGGGGAAAGACTTGGACAACAAAAAGTACGCAAAAAATAGAAATATTCTAATATGTATTCTGCGACCGTAGTCAAAAATAGTATTGTTTTGTTCTGTGCTGGATTCTGTGGTGGAGCATCGCACGCGGCGGTTTACCCTTCGCTCGCTCCATCCTTTCGTGCGACTGATTCGGAAGTGTTTGGTGATCGTTTTTAAGGGTTTTAAGTTCTGCCGGCCCCGCTGTGTTGACCGTTCACGCCGTTGTGGAGGCCGGATGGGCCCAGATTGTGGTAGCGGGGGGATGTCGGTTTTTTGGTTCGGTCAAAAGTGTTTTTTGTTAGCTGAGCAAATATTGGTTATATTCTTCTTTGTACGTATTGATCAATTACCAAAAGCGAAATTCCTCGACAGACGTTGGCAATGGGTGAATGGTCATAGTAGCTTGCCCAACTGTTTGTAAAAAGAAAGCGAAGAGAAGTTCTGTGCTTATTCTATGCACATTCTGTGGTGGAATCTTGTTTACGTTTTGAATTTTCCGGTGTTGGACTTGATTTCTGCCTATTTACCACAATATCAATAATTTATAATAGCGTTATGACCAATCTACAAAATGGCAGTAACCCAGGCCGCCCAAGTGAAGACGATCCTGATCCTAGGGATCTTATAAAAAGCAGGGAGTTTATGTACCGACTTATCATAAGGTCCTTTCAACATTTATGTCCTAGTTTCTTCATTATTTATTATTTATGTTATTCTAGCCAGTTATTTTACGATGGACATCAGGCTCTGGGACAAACACTGGCACAAGCTGTTCAAGCTGAACCAGCATGTGCACCCAGTGACAGACTGTTCCGCATTACTTTGGTAGGTCTTGAACATGAGCCTGATCGAAAGGAACGTCCTCCGAGTATCGGCATTGGCAACAATACAGTTGGACCGGGATTGGGTACTTAAAAAACTATAAAGAGAAAACGTATTAATTTGTTTTTCATTTATAGATTTGGAGTTTGAAACAGATTCTACTTTACCCGCACCAGAACCAGCTTTGTATGAAACAGCTTATGTTACATCCCACAAAGGGAATTGTAGAGCAGGTTGCTTTTCAGCAGATGGCCAGCTCATTGCTACTGGTAGTGTTGATGCCAGTATAAAAATTCTGGATGTAGACAGAATGCTGGCTAAGTCTGCTCCAGATGAATTAGATCCATCTAGGGGTGAACAGCAAGGACATCCTGTTATTAGAACATTGTATGATCATATGGAGGAAGTGACTTGTCTAGAGTTTCATCCGAAAGAGCCGATTTTGTGCTCAGGGTCGAAGGATCATAGTATAAAGCTTTTTGATATTTCTAAAGCTAGCGTTAAAAAGGCATTTAAAACAATTTCCGTAAGTACCAAAATAAATCTTTTATACCTAGATATTTTTTCTTGTTTTTAGAGGTTAAATCAGTTAACTTGTGGCTTAGTGATAGAATAAGATATTCTGTTATAGGAGGCTGAGCCAGTCAAATATTTTTCATTTCATCCTACTGGTGATCATTTGATAGTTGCCACAAGTCATCCCGTAATCCGCATGTATGACGTCAATACCCTGCAATGCAATGTGTGCCCTTTTCCCAATCAGCAGCATTCGCAAACGGTAACATGTTTGAAGTGGTCCTTGGATGCAAAACTCTTTGCCAGCTGTAGCAAAGATGGTTCAATTAAATTGTGGGATGGAGTATCGAATAGGTAACTTCTGAGTTTATATTTGAAAATTTCATATACCTTATCCAAAAAAAAAAAAATCGAATATGCAAATTAGAATAAATTGAAATACAAGCATTTCTCTCCTCCTTTCTTTGTTTCCCAAAGTCTCCACATTTTTTGTAAATATACATACCTCTAGTAAGAACTACACTAACTATATACATTTTTGCATTTATTAAAGGTGTATAAATACCTTCACAAAGGCTCACGACGGATTTGAAGTATGCTCTGTTATGTTCTCGAGGAACGGAAAGTATATTTTATCAGCCGGCAAGAATTCTATATGCAAACTATGGGAACTGACTGCTAGCAGATGCCTTATTGCCTACACAGGTGCCGGCACCACCGGCAAACAGGAATATGAGGCTCAGGCGGTATTTAATCATACGGAGGACTACGTGTTGTTCCCAGATGAGGCTACCACATCTTTGTGCGCATGGAACTCCAGAAATGCGTCCCGAAAACAGTTGATGTCATTAGGCCACAATGGGGCGGTACGTTTGATTGCCCATAGTCCCACGCAAGCAGCTTTTTTGACATGTTCCGACGATTTCCGGGCGAGGTTTTGGTATAGGCGAACTCCAACTTTGTAATTTTAGTTTTGAATATGTTTAATTAAGAGGTTTGTAAGTTTCCGATTAAAGTTGTGTCCACTTTTTTGCGTTTGAACTCTAGTAAAGCACTTAGAATTTCTCTTTCATAACAAAGGTGCATTATAAAATTAAAAGATTATTAAACACTAGCCTAGCGTAGGAAGTCCATTAATTGACATATCGACATTAAGATGGCGCTGTTGCAGGAAGCAACTGGAAATAATATTATTTCATGGTTGTTCATTTTTAGTTACAATATTTGTGTAAACAGACTAATATTTACCCTCTGGACGAAAACTTGAAATTTTTTTCTAGAAGACGCTCTCTAGAAATTAAAATAAGGAAGTAGTCGCCAACACCAAAATAATATTTTTAATAAATATCTTAAAAATAAGTCCTTGAAGTTTGGGAAAATATTTTTAAGATGCAGGAGTAATTTCTGGGTATTGAAAGTGAAGTGAAAGTTAAAAAGCATTGTATAATATGTTTATTCAAGAGTTTTGTTTATGTAAATTCGCTTGTACTTTTTATTTAAAACAGTTTATAATGAATGAGAAATACTTTTATTAGAGAGCAACAGTGCAATGTAATGAATAAATAATAAAAAATACGTAATTTTAACCAAAAGCTGGAAAGTATTAGTAAACTTGTCATATAAATGAAAGTTTATTTTGCAATAACTTGACAAGGAGTTAAATTTTCTTGGATTCTTCTTCAAATTTAATCGATTATTACCGTCTTCGGATAATACATAATATGCAAAACTGAATATTAGGTGGTGCTTAATGTTAATATTTTTACCGTTACCAACTAACAATAATATAATAATAATCAATATCTATGCCACACAATTTGTTTACTAGGTATATTCTTTTGTTGCCGTGATTTTTTCTAAAATCTACGCCAGCGCTACTACGTTTGTGTTGGAGCTTGAATGATATGTGGAATGTTATTTTGGTTTGGTTTATAATCAACATTATTCCGTTTCAACCATTCTTCCTTGCTTAATGATACGAGATCTGACCAACATATTTTATGTTTTTCTAATGACTGAAAAAATTAAATCTTTGAGGGGACATCTTTTTCTTAAAGAACGTGTTTCATGGGTTAAGATTGCTGTGAACACTAATAAGCAGGACATGCCGTATACAGGACGATTGATGGTAATTGGAAGAGCAGGCGTTCATGGAGAAGGGAAACAGGATCAGTCTGAAATTACATTCATTTACTTAACGGATGTGGCTCTGTCTACCTACAATATTTTTGGAGATGACAGCAAGACCGGCATGAATGACTATTTAAAAAAGATAAATTATTATAAATGCCGTAAAATTGATTTGCCTTAGGGTTTTCACGCTAACTTATATATTTCGCACCATTCTTTTCTAAACAGGGATCTCAGATACATAACTCGTTTTCCTTCTGAAAATTTAATGGGATCTGGATAAAAATACTACAACAAAAATGGCACGACCAGACTAAAAAAAAGGCGAATAGATAAAATATCAGCGGCCATATTGATTGTTGAACCTGGCAACATATTGAATGAATCTTCTCAACATTTTTTATATTAAGATGAGCATCTACCTACCGATTTGTTGTGATTTATCTTTTTTATTGCTTTGTTTTTAAATTTATATATACAACAAAAAAATTATATATACAAAATCTAAATGGATGTCAAGCACAAACAATTTTATTGATAGAAAACGTATTACCTATTCTCGAAACGGAGTACCTACTTCTAATTTGACAGCTGTTATGCTGGTCCGTTTAAAAATAAACGGCGGCGTCGGCACGACGACGCGACGTTCAAGTTTTTGACTTCTTATATCGTAATACGATATTTACTTTTTTCTCAAACGGAAAATTCGGTGGCTGGGTATATATCGCACTCTCGATGAAAGAACCAGATTTTCGTCGTATGATGATTATTTATTGAAAAGGTACTCTAGATGGTTCCTTGTTTTTACTTAATTAGATTGATAACCACCCATTTTAAAACCCCTGTCTCTCAAAGCAGGCTTAAGTTTCTGTTGGCTAGTCAGGTAGATAAGATTTGCATCTGTGGGTGACATTTTTGGAACTATTATCAAAAAAATTTAGTGCTTATTAATTTTGTTAAAAAACAAAAAAAAAAACAAAATACTAAACGTAATTTAAATATGCACTAAAAGGAATATTTAGAAAAATGATAAACTAAAGTTTCCGTAAGCTATCTTTAGCTTTTTCTGTCATTTTCATTATAAAATAAATGGGTAAACAGGATTTGTAAAAAAACACATATTCAAACTGGAAAAACAAATGGATAAACAATATCAAAATTTTTCCTCCTTTCTCAATTACATTAGTAAGTGAGGTCTATAAATTAATTGGACCGACATGTTATGTTATGAAACTGGTATAAGAACACTTAACGTTGAAAAATAAACATCCTACAAAATAAGCTTTTGGCACCGTTAAAACAGAAAACCACAATTTCAAGGTTGAAAACAATTTTAAGCCACTACATATTCAGATCAAGGGTAAGAAAATGAACAATCCAGAAAAACATAGAGTAAACCATCTGTCTCAATTACAAATCCTCATCGACTTATTTTAAAGCTGAATAATTAGTACACTTGTTGAGGAGGATTTTCTATAATTTTTAAGATGTCGAATTAGTATCCAAAACACTAATTTTTAATGTAAATTTTGTTTTTCTTGTTTTGCTTGCCATTTTTATTTTATTCCGTCTTTGACGCGACTTTCCCTTTTATTTATTAATTTTTGGATTTTTCCATAAAAAATAGAAACGTGATAATTTGGGGTTTTAGGTAGCTTTGATTTTTACATTTTTTTATACTTTGTCCGAAAATTGTTTGATTTGGTTAGTTCTTCTAAATAGTGTTTTAGAAATATTGCAATTCTGTTTGATATTTAAATTGTTTAATTTAATTTTTACTATCGTTTTAATTTCCTTCTAATTAGGCTGAAACGCGTATGACCCAATATGAACATGGAAATATATAATTTCACATTGTATCAAGTTAATTCTTGGAAAGAGAGTTTGCTTAATTTTTTATATAATTCGCACTAAAACGCGGCAAATGAAGAAATTATTTCCAGGAATAAAAATATATGCTTTTAGCTGGAAAATGCGAAAATCAGATCAAAATTTAAAAAAGTAATTGTTTTACTTTTTTTGTCTTTAAAAAACCTCCAGAGACATCAAGATCTTTTGTGAGTTTGATGCCTTGTTGTACCCCAAAGCAAGAAATCAATGTCGGTTTCTAATCAATGAGAGAACTATTTCATATGAATGGTTAGGAATATAGGTATATCACAATTGGAAAATTCGGTGGCTGGGTATATATCGCACTCTCGATGAAAGAACCAGATTTTCGTCGTATGATGATTATTTATTGAAAAGGTACTCTAGATGGTTCCTTGTTTTTACTTAATTAGATTGATAACCACCCATTTTAAAACCCCTGTCTCTCAAAGCAGGCTTAAGTTTCTGTTGGCTAGTCAGGTAGATAAGATTTGCATCTGTGGGTGACATTTTTGGAACTATTATCAAAAAAATTTAGTGCTTATTAATTTTGTTAAAAAACAAAAAAAAAAACAAAATACTAAACGTAATTTAAATATGCACTAAAAGGAATATTTAGAAAAATGATAAACTAAAGTTTCCGTAAGCTATCTTTAGCTTTTTCTGTCATTTTCATTATAAAATAAATGGGTAAACAGGATTTGTAAAAAAACACATATTCAAACTGGAAAAACAAATGGATAAACAATATCAAAATTTTTCCTCCTTTCTCAATTACATTAGTAAGTGAGGTCTATAAATTAATTGGACCGACATGTTATGTTATGAAACTGGTATAAGAACACTTAACGTTGAAAAATAAACATCCTACAAAATAAGCTTTTGGCACCGTTAAAACAGAAAACCACAATTTCAAGGTTGAAAACAATTTTAAGCCACTACATATTCAGATCAAGGGTAAGAAAATGAACAATCCAGAAAAACATAGAGTAAACCATCTGTCTCAATTACAAATCCTCATCGACTTATTTTAAAGCTGAATAATTAGTACACTTGTTGAGGAGGATTTTCTATAATTTTTAAGATGTCGAATTAGTATCCAAAACACTAATTTTTAATGTAAATTTTGTTTTTCTTGTTTTGCTTGCCATTTTTATTTTATTCCGTCTTTGACGCGACTTTCCCTTTTATTTATTAATTTTTGGATTTTTCCATAAAAAATAGAAACGTGATAATTTGGGGTTTTAGGTAGCTTTGATTTTTACATTTTTTTATACTTTGTCCGAAAATTGTTTGATTTGGTTAGTTCTTCTAAATAGTGTTTTAGAAATATTGCAATTCTGTTTGATATTTAAATTGTTTAATTTAATTTTTACTATCGTTTTAATTTCCTTCTAATTAGGCTGAAACGCGTATGACCCAATATGAACATGGAAATATATAATTTCACATTGTATCAAGTTAATTCTTGGAAAGAGAGTTTGCTTAATTTTTTATATAATTCGCACTAAAACGCGGCAAATGAAGAAATTATTTCCAGGAATAAAAATATATGCTTTTAGCTGGAAAATGCGAAAATCAGATCAAAATTTAAAAAAGTAATTGTTTTACTTTTTTTGTCTTTAAAAAACCTCCAGAGACATCAAGATCTTTTGTGAGTTTGATGCCTTGTTGTACCCCAAAGCAAGAAATCAATGTCGGTTTCTAATCAATGAGAGAACTATTTCATATGAATGGTTAGGAATATAGGTATATCACAATTGTCACCATGAGGGATAGGTGCTCCATCAAAACTAGCAAACAAATTATCAAAAAATCTGAGCAAATTTCTATTTAAAAAAATGCGGCGCAATAATCTCGCCTTTTTAAATTGTTAGCTTTTAAGGAGTCGCGTCTCTTGCTCTTTATTATCGAAATCTAATATCTTAAGAAATGCCTTAGTGCCTGCACAAAATATATATTTTTTGTCTCGTTATTCCCGGTTTCAACTAAGTGTACAGAGAAATTGTGACTTTATGATTTCTTACTACTTTTATCAAACCTTTACACCTACGAAAACTCTTTCAGACTTGAATGGGGATTATTATTAAAATTTTCAAGCGTTATTTGGTCTAGGCCTTCGAATTGTAATGCTAAGCCCGTTAACATTTAAAAACAGTTACGTGAGTAATATTGATTTCTGTTGGTTAAGTACTTGCTTCGTTGCCAACTAATATTATTGACAGCTTTTCTTGCAAAGAATAAAACATTATTAGGAGATTTTTTGACTTCCTTTAAACATTCCTTCCAAATATTGAAAACTATTTTTTCTACTCCTGTCTGTAAAATACCTAATTACACACCGATCTAGCGTGCGAGAAGCGTCACTTTACCACGTCAGTGTCGTTTCCCACGGATCTGAGCCACTTCGGACATTTCCGGGATTTTATCGAGCGGGATTGGAAGCAATCGGATGTTTTCGGAGATATTTCCCACGCCTTGAATTTTGACGTTTGTCAATTCTAACGGTCATGTCAGTGAATGTATTCGTGTTGTTTTGCGAAAATATAACCAAAAAGTAACGGTCGTAGAAAAAGTATAGTAAGTCACTCGTTTATTAAACACAAAATTTGAATGATTTCAGTCAAAATTAAATATTTCCCGCTCGTCGAATACGTAATTTGAATACCTAGCAGATGTGTATATCATAGCCGAGCTTGTTAATTTATACAGGGTGCTACCTAATTTCTCTGACAAAAGGAATGAGGAGATTTCTGACATAAGGTTACGTTTATTCTTATGGATTCTTCCATTAATTGTAAACATATTTTTGGAGTATATGCTATATTATTGGAATTTAAAATTTAAAATATCTAGACAAAACAGGCAATTTCGGGACAAAATCTGAAATACATAAACAAATTGATAAATATACATATATTTAGAAATAAAAATAAATTTATAAATTTTTTTATAATTATAATTTTTCTAAATATCGAGTGAAATCACGCAATTTCAATGTAAAATTTTGAATTGGAACACAAAATTTTAAAATTTTTGAATACAAATACGATAAATACGATAAAATATGAAATTTTAGAAGTTAGAGATAAACCGCAGAATTTTAGCCTAAAGTTTCGAGTTAGAATGAGACCATTTTACCTTAAGATTTTTTGTTTTATCTCAACTATGTATTCAAACTACGAACACGAAATTTTAAAATATCGTGATAAAATAAGAAATCTTAAGGTCAAATTTCGAAACATAAAATTTTTAAATTTTGAATTAAAAGATTAAACAATTTTGGGATTAAACACGAAATTTTTAAAATTTAGAGATGAAGCACGAAATTTCTTAATATTTACAGATGAAGCACGAAATTCCTTAATATTTAGAGAAAACACGAGAGGTAAAGTTTCGAGTTAAAATGCGAAACTTAAAATTTTGTAAATAAAAAATCTAAAAATCTAAAAATCTAAAATTTAGAGATAAAACACGAAATTTTTAAATTTAGGAATCAAGCAGGAAATTTTACCATAAAATTTAGAGTCAGAACACGATTTTTAAAATATAAAGAGAGAACACGAAATCTTATGCTAAAATTCTGAGTTAGGACAAGAAACTCTAAAATTTTTAAATAAAAGACGAAAATTTATTATGAAATTTCTCGACAAAACACAAAATTTTAAAATTTAGACATAAAAAACGAAATTTTTAAATTAACAAAGAAAGCAGGAAATTTTACCATAAACTTTAGAGTCAAAAATATAGAGATAAAACATTAAATCTTAAGGTAAAATTTAGAGTTAAAACACGTAATTTGTAGGTTAAACATGAAATTTTAAGATTTATTTTTGAGACGCATCTTCTACGCCTTCGTAGTAAAGTGCAAAAACCAAACTTTCAGAAAGATCTCTCGTTTTCCATTAACGTCTAACGCGTCACTGACCGCGCGAATCACCCTGTATATACGAGGCCGCGCGAAGCCGCAACCGAACTCGATTTCCGAGTCAGGGGGAGTAAAACCGACGCGTCGTACCGCGAACGGAAAGGTAGCGACGCGACGGACGTCGGAAAACTTTGATCTAATCGTGGAAATCGCCTGACGAGTTCCGCGACCTACTTTAAAAGTCAACAAACTGGCAGACGAGACGCGTCCCGTCCTCCGAAAGCGACACCGCTCGCCGCGTCGCGACGCTCGTCTCATCGTTCGAGCGTCTGCCGACAGATGGACCGCTATAGGGAACCGGCTTCAGTCTGCCAGTAACTTTTCAGCCGTTAAGAGCACTCGCCCTCGCCAGTGCAGTACCGCGCACCGCTCGTCGGTACCGCCCTCCCTTGTTGTGTATTCCCCGCCACCCCCTCAAACCATTTGGGGATCGTTTCAGTGCGCGAGTGCGAATTGGTTCGAAACGGGGGAAAACCAAGCAAAAAAAAGAAATGTGGTAAAATATGATGTGCCGTCGTTGCTCGAATGATACGGAAGATGCGGAATCGTCTTCGTGCCCGACGAAATTGTTATCCGGCAGGCTGGATATCGGATGAACGTGTTCGGTAGCTGGAGGATTCACACGCCAGACATGTCCATGATATCAGGCTGGACATGTATCACGGTTTTGGTTTTGGCGATGATGCTGACTTCCGCTTCACCCGTAGTTCGCGCGTATCGATCGTCGAGGTCGTTTAGGAACGCCGTCGTTCCTCGTGGTCGTATCGACGCGTATGTCATTCCGCAAAACTTGGAGGCAATGCCGACGCCGTCGATCTACGGCCGGACTCAGAGGTCTCATAAACCTTCGAGGCGGCTCCGTGTCGAATGTGAAAACGAACATTATACGGTGAAGGCTTTCAGGGCAAGAATCGTTCTGCACGTGAGAGCGCAGAGTGTGGAAACTATAAAGACCCCGTCTTCGTATTCGGTGCACTTTAAAATAATCAAGAGCTTGAAACAATCGTCTTGGCCGATACACGAGATGATCAGCCTGAGCTTTTCCAATTCTACGGGTCGATGCGACAAGAGTCGCAATGGTAGGCGGAGGAAGCTGGTCGGTGCCGATATACGCGCCTCGCAGGAGTATATTATCTTCCTGAACGCGACGTCCAACGACGACTTCAAGATCGTAGGTGCGCCCGAACCGCTTAAAAGGAGGCGGCACAGGGAGGATATGCTGTCCGTTTTACAGAAAGTCTGCAGCCCTAAATTCAGTAAGTAAATTTGCGCCGTCCAGAATTCGGATTAGGTCTGAACTGTACAGGGCGGTCATAAATGAATGCGCCAAAAGGCAATCCTAAAGTAAACTCATAAAAATATTGATTGAAAGAGCGGGTTAGTTCTCTAAATTTTTATTTCTCCATGGCTCAATCAATTGTTCAAATATTGACATTAAAAATTGGGTTGAAGGGTTTTTCGAGGTGGCGAATACGATTACCTTCTATTTTTTCACGTAATGTATAGATGACGCTAGTTACACCTATAATTTCGCTATTTCATACTATAATTTGCTTTTTCTAGTCCTGTCTGTAAAATACCTGATTACGCTCCGATCTAGCGTGCGGGAAGCGTCGCTTTACCATATCAGTTTCGTTTCCCACAAATCCGAGCCACTTCGGTCATTTCCGGGATTTTACCGCAGTGGTTTGGGAGCAATCGGACGTTTTCGGAGATATTTCCCACTCCATGAATTTTGACGTTTGCCAGTTCTGACTGTCATGTCAGTGAATGTATTCGTGTTGTTTTGCGAAAATGTACCCAAAAACTAACGGTCGTACAAAAAGTAGAGTATGCAACACGTTCGGTAAACTTTTTAACTCACTCGTTTATTAAACACTCAGTCCGCTCGTGTCAAATAAACTCATGAATCAAATGCCGTGTACCGTACTTGTTGCATAATATACTATTTTCTATTCCCGTCCATAAAATACCTAATTACACACCGATCTAGCGTGCGGGAAGCATCAGTTTACCACGTGAGTTTCGTTTACCACGGATCCGAGCCACTTCGGTCATTTCCGGGATTTTACCGCAGGGGTTTGGGAGCAATCGGACGTTTTCGGAGATATTTCCCACTCCATGAATTTTGACGTTTGCCAGTTCCGACTGTCATGTCAGTGAATGTATTCGTGTTGTTTTGCGAAAATGTACCCAAAAACTAACGGTCGTAGAAAAAGTATAGTATGCAACATGTTCGGTAAACTTTTTAAGTCACTCGTTTATTAAACACTCTCTCCGCTGCGCCCTGCACTTGTTGCATAATATACTATTGTTAGTACCGTTCCTTAATTTTTTTAATTTGTAATTAAAGTGAGTTTGACTTGCTTTGTCACAAATTTTATTCAAAATTTGATTTGCGCAACAACCAGTCACCTCGTATCTCAGTGAGCGACATCTTAGTAACGGATATTTCATATTGCCTTAGTAAAATGTCGCTCAGATACAGAATGTAAAACTCTTTTTGTTTTTCGGATATCGACACGAAAACTAAGATTAGGAGGTTTTTGGAGTTGTATACTATATTTTGATAAAATTCACCGTTTTTGAGATGTTTGTATTGTAATTTTTTATAGCCAAATCGCTGACTCAAAAGAAGTTAACTAAAAATGGGTAGGGCTATGTATTAAGATCCATTTATTTCAATATAAGATTTTTAACGTTATTTTGAAACGGAAGAATGGAAAAAACTACTTCATGTAGTTAATATGCCTAGGAATAACTAATATTCAAATAATGAAAATATGCGTTAGTAAAATGTCGCTTATTGAGATAGAGGGTGAATCGTTGTTGCCCCCCGTATATGCCCAAATCAAATTCTGAATCAAAGTTTGTTACTTCGTTGCTGAAGAATTAATAAAAAAAGGTCATCAATTTTGAAAGTGGAACCATCTCGGGGACTACTTTTCAGTGACACATGTTTTGTACAGATAAATGTACTAAAATGCAATTAGCTCAAAAACGGTGTAACGTCGAAATAAATGTAGTATAGCTTTTTAACTTTTAATCTTCTAAAAAAAGTAGTGAAGCGAAACTTAACCAAAACTAACCAAAACTAACTAGAAAGTTATGGAATGCAATAGCCATGTTATAGGGTGTAACTGGCGACATGTACATATTATGCGAATTCAAGTTTTCGTGTCGATATTTCCATAACTTTAATTTAAATTTAATCAAAATTATATATGTAGTTTTACATTTAAAGAATTGTTCGACCTGGTTAACCTTTCTGCTATGGCTATGGTTTAAACACCAGAGGGAGCCAAAAATTCAAATGCCGCCATACTTTGCGAAAATGAATTTTCCACCTAGGAAAAGCAGAGAAGTTAGCGTTAGAAGTTTCTTTTGCCAATCTAATTTATAGGCAGGAGACGTTGAAGAATTTATAGGAGATACAGAGTCCTCCCAAACATCGCCTTAATATCGAGGAAATTGAGAAAAGTAACATTGATTGACTAAAATTTGACTAAACATTGGATTGATTAAAATATTAAAAAATTAATGAATATTAAATATAAATATAAATATTTCAAACTTTTATAAAGGTCTAGACATAGTTGAGATCACTAATTTAGTTGAGTTCCCCAAAAAGACTTGTAGACTCGGTGCCGGATAATCAACAGTTCATATAACAAACAAGAATGATGCGATTACGTAAATATAAATTCCATAAACTGAATACACTGACTGAGCTCTGACTAAAATAAACTCTTCAATTTTGAAAGGTCTTTTTATACTCTGTATCAATTCAATAACTTATACTATCTCAAGTTTTGCTCCATTATTTCTTCTGTATATGTTCTGTTTCAGTTTCCCAGAAAAATCTACCGATTAGAAACTTATGACATGCTTATGAGCGAGCTGCGACATTTGAGAAAACTCGGTTTTGTTCAGAATGGATAATAATTAATAACTGATGTTTTTTTTTACAAGATAGTAATCAAGAAAAGTTACCCTAACTGTTTAATTTGCAAATCGAAGTCAAGCACCAAATTGTATCAACATTTTTATTACTTCTAAAGCTCTTTTATATATATTAATATATCATTTCATTTCCCGATTTGTAAAAAACTTGTACTCATGTGATAAGGCACCATATTACATAGTATAAATATTCATATGCATTCATATGCATTATGTTTTAGTAGATCCTTTTCGATTTCTATTAGTGATTAAGTCTATGGTTTCATAAAATATCATATGTCTTGTCAAACGGATTGATTTCTGAGTCGACTAAATTTTTTCCCTAAAGTTTAAAAAGTAACTGGCAACATCGAATAGAATAACATCGAATTCAGACACTCGTCCATCATCACTGTTGCTGACATGTGCTTGCGTTCAAGGGTTGATAGACTTGGTACCAGATGCCGGTGGAAAAAAGGGAGCAAGTTAGTCCCAAAATACGAATTACGTCGTTTTTATTAAGAATATCCCTGCCTGATACATCACGAAGTTAGAATAGACTTTTAAAATTAAGTTTACGGTCTTAATTTTAGTGACCACAGGCAAGCCAGAATGAGAACACGTCAAAATAACTGACTAACTTCTTGGGACGTTTTAAAAATGCTTTTTTTGCCTTTAAATAACCCATTTCAGATGCGTGGGAGCTAGCAATTTGTTTGCTATCGTTTGGTAAGAGGTCCAAACTTGGTGTTACAACTAATCCTCCGTAATTTATAATCCTCAGTAAGTGGACGAACAATTACAGACACGTGGGTTGCTATACTATGTATGTACAGGACGAACACTTCAAGCATATATTAAGGACTAGAGAGTGATACATAAGCACAGGTGGTGTTCTTGAGAGGATATATCATTTAAGATAACTCCAAAAAGCTTAAGGACTGACATAACTTTAATTATCCCCGGAATTTCGCAAACTCTTCGCTAAGTCTTACCTAGCATTTTTAATGATTACTAATTATGTCAAATTTAATATCAAAGCGTAAACATCGAAAATAGCAAGGCAAAAAGTGTACGTTTTCGATCAAATTGACGGATGATATGGCGGAAACCGTTTTTTATCGCATTTTTCAATGCGTGAATCATTACTTGAAAACATAACTATAATTGACATAATATTATTCTTATTTGATCTGTAAAAGATACAGATAGTGTTAGGCGTCTTCACTGCCAGTCTAAGGTTCTTTCAATACCGAGCTTAGCGAAGCATAAATCCCAATCGTTTCGTCGTTGAAAGCTCCCGGACATTGGCAACTACGGCGGGGATCTGCCCTGGCTTGAACGAATGCAATTTGTTCTCGAACAATGAAATAGATTGTCATATATAATTAATCAACAAGCTACCGTTCATTGTTTTAAAACAAGCCATCTGTTTAAGGAGAGTACGTGGAAATCGTCGATGACAAATTAAAGACGCCGATAATTACTGTTTTATCTTGGGGACGGATTTATTTTAAAAGAGCTTACAATTTTAATCATTAACTGACACATTATGCAACACCAAGTGCAATTAACCAACTTGGCTATTACAAAGGTAAACCCATGAGTCAATAACTTATCTTCGTTTAAATAGTGTAATGCCTATTGCTTTTAGCGTTTTCACTTAAAAATTTGTTTTTCTTTCTTCCTCAATCGATACTGAAAATGCATTGAAGATGCAACATGTAATATCATTTTTAAGGTCATAAAACGCAACGGGCGAGCTAACACTTCTCAAACAACGTATTAATAATTGCAGCAACATTCGAAACTCCCAAGGGACTGGCAGCACTATTTACAATTCTGTAACTTCAATTTACACCGAAGATGGCAAAGTCGGTTCATCTTAGGCTTGTAATGATTTAGAAACCTTCTACATTCCGTCATCTTTTAAAAGCATTAACCGCAATAAATTTAAATACTCAGAAAATATCAATCAACCAAGCCAAAAATAAATCACAGGAAAATCACGTATAACATCGAATTGTTCTTTAGCAGTTCGATTTAGCAGGGTCCATAAGCTTATTATTATATTGGCTTGTCAAGGGTGAAGACCTGATGACTTTTTTAAAAAATATTTTAAAAACTTATAACAGTAGAATAGCAGGATGCCTAAACGACAAGATATGGAAGAATAAATACTTAATAACAAAATAACAAAATCCCGAATATATAAATCTGTAGTTTGACCAGTCAAGACATACCGCTGAAACAAGACCGGAAACATCTGAGACAAATGAAATGAAATAGGGAAAACACTCTGGGACAGAGAAAC